TCTGACACCACCGTCTTTCCTCCATCTATCAAAGCTGGGAGTTTAATCGCTTTCCTTTTCCCACTCATTCTTTTAAACATAGACCATATATCCCCTAACTCTACACCTCTACCTATGGTGGAACAGAACTCTCTCCAACTTTTCTTTTTGGTTAACTTAATTGTCCTACGTGCCACTGCCCTTTTCCTTTGAAAATCCAAAACACTCTCTTGTGATAAATTCTTCTTTAATGTTTTAAAGGCTTTGTTTCGTTCTTTTACAGCTCTGCTACACTCCTCATTCCACCAGGGGACCACTTTCTTCCTGCCCTTTGTTGTTCTGTTTGGAATACTTGTGCTGCATTTATAATGTGTTCTGTAATTTGCTTTGTGCCTTCCTCTACATCACCTTCTAACGTCACAAGGTTTGCTGACTTCGTACAACATAACCTAAATTTTTCCCAGTCTGCTTTCTCAAAGCACCATCTGTTAATTGTACTTCCTTCTAGGAAACATACATTTGTGTTAATAATAGTGAGAACTGGAAAATGGTCACTTCCTATGGTAGAATCATTCATAACAAACCATTCACATGCTTTTACCAAATTATCTGATACCAGTGTGATATCTAAACATGATGTTTTACCCCTGTTCACATCCATTCGTGTTCCCTGTCCATTATTAATGCAAACCAGTGATCTTTCTTCCATCATTTCTTCAATTATGTCCCCATTATTATCTGTGTGATTGCTGCCCCATAAGCTGTTGTGTGCATTGAAGTCCCCACACCATATTTCTTTCCTGTATACAGTCCCTGCCATTTCATTCAGTTTATTGAAATCTAAGTTTTTGCATGGGTTATAGAAATTAATCATTTTAATGTTTCCCTCTTTCCTTGGGCTATAGATTTCAACTATAATACATTCTGAATCTTCTGAGCTTGGGGATTCCCTGTAGGCCAACCCATCCTTGATAAAGGTGATGCACCCTCCACCAGTTTGGTTGTTAGGTCTATCGTACCTTATAGAGCTAAACCCTGGTATCACATAATCTAGTCTGTCTCGTAACCAAGTTTCTTGTACACATATTGCATCTGGAACAACATCTAATTCATGAATGTACTTTTTGAATTCTTGACCATTAGCTATAAGACTTCTTGCATTCCACTGTAGTATGTGAAGAACCATTATGAGTGTCCTAACCCTCTGTTTGTGTATTTCCATTTTCAGTTATTGAATGAATTAAACAAACCTTAAAATCTCATTGCTCAGACAAGATTAACAGAGAAATGAAACTACAAACACTGGTTGAAACAAACCACTTTATTCAGATAAAGTTTTATAGCAAGATCATACAGCTAAGGTTTTAAAGTTAGAGCGTAAAAAATGTAATTTAAAAATGTCATCTCAAGTTAAAATGATAAATGTGCCCAGGTGTGCTTTCAGAGTCAGGGGGCTTTCAGGCTGGGTTCTGGAGGATGGCGGGAGGCAAAAGGGAGAAAGTAGTCTCTGGCAAATTGGAAGACATCATCTGGTTTCCTCAGCAGCAAGAACTGCAGGAAGTCGGAAATGAGGGCCCGGATCTCTGGATGCTGTCTCAGGTACGAGGCGTGGTCCGCCTTCAGCTCCTCCTGCCCCAGCGAGACATTAAACACATGTTGCTATTCTGTTCTGTTCAAAGGATTTATAGGGTAAGATGTGATATATGGGAGGAAACAGTATTATAGGTACAGTCAGTCTGAATCTAATATCATATAATGAGAACGGTCTTGGTCACCTTTCTGTCCAAGAACTTAGATCGCATCTGCATGTCTTCTTCCCAAACCAGGGGGATCTTCTCAAAACCTAACACACACACACACACACACACACACACTTACAACATAACTGACTGTATTTCATTAGAGAAACCTGTGTGTATGTGTAATGTGTGAACCTTACCTTTTTGTAGCTGTGATGGCAGCTGAAGAAGCCTCATGTTGACAGGTGATCCCACCTGCACTCTGCTGGCCAAGTGCCTGATCAGACAGAACAGAACAGAGCAAAATTGCTCAACATGTCTATTAAGCGTTTTTTCCCCCGCAGCAGTCATAAATTCATGCACTTGTCATGGATGCGGGGTGTTTCACTTGTGACCAGACGGTACACCATGCACACCCACATGAAAAACAACTAAAAACAAGCACAGAAATGAAATTAACTTTATCGTTTATTTCTCTTGCTCTTATTCACCATTTCCTGATGCGGTCAAAGCTCGCTAAGGACACAAGGAAAAACTCTAAAAGAAAAAAAAGGCAGGTCTCATGCTGTTAAATTTCATGCGGCCATCTCTTGATGTGACATGAAAATCAGATTTCAAAGTATTGAACAACACTAAAACTTACCAAAACTTTTAATACTATTAATCATGCAGCCCAAACATGCGGCCAACACTAAAATAATTATAACAGTGTAGTGTGCAATCAACAGTGGTACCCTATTTCATCCATAGCGTATAGTGTGAAGGACCCTAAGAGGTATAGTCATTGAGTTACCCATCAGCCAGGAAGTAGCACTGCCAGGTACTTGGGCTGTCCTCCACAGAGTGAACAGTCCTCTCCACCCCAAATACCTCGACCGTCTCATCCCCAACCTCCAGCTGCATCAGACCCAGCTCCCTCTGACCACAGAGAAAGACATAATCAGAGTTCACAAGTAACACACAGAATGAGCAAGAGTTCTCACTGTCACAGTGACTTACAAAAGTGGTTTGTATGATTTGTAATCCCTGGTCGAAAGAGATGAAGGTCATGTGCTCTGGCATTTTTTTCCTAAGAACAATCAGGCGCATCAGCAGCACGTTTGCTCCCTCTGTTACCAGCCCTCTGAGGACAGACATGGGATACGAAAAGCTCTCCTTTGTCACCTCCTGCACACACACACACAAAAGGATTACACCTCACAGTAATTTCGCCACAGCAGGTTTCTGTTCAAGCAAGCATCAAGGTGGTGTGGTTGTTTCTTTTCTCACCTCTCCTACAGTGGTAACTTTATCGATCACCATCTGCCCATCACGCTGCACCATGTGACACCTCTTGTCCAAACTGTGGCCCTCAAGCTGAAAACAGGTTTGTTTGTGTTTAAAGCCAGGGAATGCCAAATAAAAATAGAAAGCAAGAATGAAAGAAGGCAAGTGTACAACATTTTCACTTGTGTGATAAATATGAGACAGTATAGGAAGGTTGCGATGACTCACCTTGACATACTCATGGTAATCTTCCTCCAACACCTCGAGCTCAGTGGTTAAATAGGCTTAAGTGGACAATGAAGGCAGGACAAAGGACACGAAGACACTGAAACATCTGTAAATGGACAAAACAATGAAGAACAACCTGGCTTTGCAGCTCCAGCCTCCCCTCACCTGTCACTGTTGTTCCGCAGGGGGAGTCATCAATGGCTCCCTGGCTCTGTGCATGAAGCAGCAGACAGGGCTGCTGGACTCTGCGGGCAAACTCCACTGTCACATTGAACTTCCCCAGCTCTCGGCCGCCCTCTGACACAGTCACCAGAGAGTCTGGAAAAACACACTTCTGCAGCTCTGCAGGGTCTGAGAGAAAAGTTTGGACATGAGCCACAGTGGACAGGTTCAAATAGGAGACAAGCTACATGGCCCAAAGCAGTGTGTTTGTCTGTGCTGACGTACTTTTCTGTTAGAAAATGAACATATTTCACTCAATTCAAATGTTGAACTACTACTTTAAAAAGGGTGTATTAAATTAGATGTATTTGGTCTAGTATAAACATAAATCATCAATTAACACACATTATTTCTATAAAATAATGTGTTTGACAAAAAGTGTGAATATTAGATGTCTGCAAAAGCAAGGTTCCTTTGATTGTCATTTTGTCTGTATAGTGGATTTAAAGTGGTTTGATTGTATAAAACCCAGCAAAACCAAAGACAATGATTAGTTCACTTGTAAGAAGCAATTTTATGAAGTTAGAACAGAAGCCTTAGCAGAAGATGCCTCACAACTTGAATATCAAAATAATTTGAACCATATTCAAAAAACCCTCTTAAATAGAATTATTAGATAGCAGTAAATTAAATACTTTGAGGGAGGCTTTTATTTGAGATCCAGTGGGTTCATGACTTATTTTTCAGTGTTTCAGTTGCTCCCAAACACTGTTTTCCCACCAAGGGGGCAATTGTAACACTCAGACTTCTTGCATTTAATTTAATATTATAGTCTAGTCCTTACTATAGTGAAAATATGTAAATTTTATTATGAATTAGTGCATCTATATATATATTTTTTATCTATGTTTGTATCAAAAGATGATTAGTGTATTTCAAGTGTGTAAGATATGGAGGAAAATGTGTTACAATTGCGCCTATTTCTAAAGCGTAGCTTTCTATTTTCTCAAGATGCCAAACCCAGGTGGTGCCTCTAAGGCGTAGGAGTTTCTGTCTCTTGTTACCATTAGACTCCTCTATAAAGAGTCCGACAACTCACCAATGCTGGACATGAATGCTATAGCCTCTTCGGAGGCTTTCAACACCTCTCCGTGGTCGCTTCCTTCAATCCCCGCTAAGGCACCGGCATGAGTCTCGTCTTCCAGCGGGGCTTCCATCATTAACGCTGCCTTTATCTAATGTCTGAGACTGTCGGTGGTAAAACAAGTCCCTACCTGGTTGGAACAGCTTTATTAGACAGACTTCAATTGTGACAGGGGGGTTGTTTTTCTCATTTTTCTGGCAAGCAGTCGTTTGTTGTGCTTCTTCTGTGCAGATTCTTTTCGGAAAGGACGAGCAAATCCGAGTTCTCATGGCAACGACGCTGTGGTACCGTAATGACGGTTGTACATACGCAGCCGAATCGCCACCTCAAAAACACACACATCTATTCTAATCTATACTCTGACCTCTAATGTGTGTTGGTTGAATCCGTTTTAAAATCTTGTTTTAGTTATTAATAAAAAGGGGAAAGTTCAAAATAACAGCAATATTATTTTTTAAAGGAAGCAAAGAAATAGCCTACAATTTCATTTCAGATCTTTATTAATAAGGGCAACACACATTCATAGGCAGATGGCTCTTTTTAACTACAGTCCTCAAATGGTTTTTCTCTTTAGCATGCACTTTTTGGTTACAATCTCTTTTGCATCTATTTTACATTTTTCATAAATGTACTAAAGCTTTACTGGTTGTGTTTGAATATAAAAAGAGGAATAACTTACTTAAAGGCAAAAAATATTTCTTTAGGAACAGTGTTCAAACCTAAGTATACATATGCATAGGCAATAAAAATTCCTTTTATATTAGGAACTAATTTGCTATGTCAATGTAACCAGTATTTGCATTTAGGGCTTTTGTTTGTAGAAGCTCAGGTAAAGGACATAACAGTTTAACATAAACTCCCTTAACTTTATGTTAATCTGGACCCACAACAAAAACAGGTTTACTCAGCGACAAAAATATGTGATATAAAATTGATATAAAAGACAATGATGTGTGATGTGTAATGATTAAAAAAAGCTTCATTTTCAATGTGGTGACAACACAAGGTTCTTCCTCAGGGTGAACCTAACTTCAGGCATCTGCTTTGCAATTCCACGTGCAATGGCTGTCTCTTTCTGGGCTACTTCATTATTCACGCGGTGGAGGATGGTGGTGATGTCTTCACCCCTAAAACAATATACAGTGTTCAAAACACATCATGATCCCTATATTATGATCAAATAAAGTGTAAAATATTCACTGCATAATAACAATTTTCATCATCAGATCTACATAACATTGTGGGTGTTATTGATTTTTGGATGTTTAAAGTCACAACACTAACTAAATATTACATTTTAAAAGTTAAAGTTTGGCATTTACCTCGGACAGCCCTCCTTTAGGTGCTGACACACAGACTGGATAAACCAGCTTCCATGTTTTATGTGTCTAAATGATACGCAGTCTTCAACAGTGGCAATGGCAACCAGAACATCAGCTTCCTCAGGGATGGACAGTGAATAACCATCAGCCTGTAGATCTTCGAATAACACTCTAGCCTGTCGCTGGCTTCCTTGGCAGGCCTGGATAAGGAACACTTTTGGCTTGCCGGTGAGGGTTGACTGGTCAGACGCTTTGAAAGTTTGGGTTATTTGTTTAATGGAGAGGGCCTGCCCATCACAGCCCAAGACTGCACCCTTTTCTCCGTGACTCAGAATACAGCAGATAAAGGCATCGCCATGCTTAGGAGCCGCCTGAAGATCAGTGAATCCGATACTGTTCCACTCCTTAACACTGAACTCCTGTAGCTGTGAGAGGCTGCTCACAGAAGCAAAGCATTTCAGTGCCCGATCCATCTGGTCCTTGGTTAGGTCTTTACACATCAGCACTCTGAACCCCAGCCAACTGAACACCTCTGCCAAACTTTCTACAGGTGATTTAATAAAAAAAACAAAAAAACAGTTAACCTTCAAATGAACAAACAGGACAATAGTGTAAACATGTGCATCTGTCTGCTCTGTACAGGAACATACGAGTATCTTTGTCGGTTCCACTTCTCGTTGTGCTTTGTGTGAAATTCTCATTGTTTATGATCACACAGAGGCCGGTAGGCTCGCTGTTCAACGGATACTGATTGTCCTAAAAAAAAAAGGAAACCATTGGACACAAACACATAGTTAAGAAACTTATGCTCCAAGACGTTTACTTAACATGTTACTTCACTTTTCTTTGCTCATTTATGAGGTATTACAATTTTACAAAAGCTAGATTCCTATTTGTATTCTATATGTTAATACAGGCTAATAAGCAGTGTTGGACAGTAACGCGTTAATATAATAATATTACTTTTCCCAGTGACTAGTAGTGTAACTGATTACTATCTCCAAAACAGTCATGTTTTTACAGTTACTAATCTAAGTAATGCTGCGTTACTAGAACGCACCATCCTTGACATGAATGCATAACAATGGCTTTCCAAAGTCCACACAAGTCACCACCCAATGCATGCTCGGTAAAACGGGCGGAGTGAGAACACATCTGGATATTTGACTGCACTTGTCTAGATCCAGACTTTTAAAGTAGAACAGAAATACGGTCATTGATAACTTACTTTATAATTTTGTATGGAGAAGTAGAACACGCAATGTTAGAAAATCAGTATTAAGGGACTCCTAAGTGTGGCCTAAACTTTCTTGATTAGTCTACCCTCAACAATACCTTTAAGATAAACTGGATAAAACAATTTTTAAGAAATCCAACCTCAATCTGGAATTGTATTCCCAATTACCTGTTTTAAAAGCTTGGAGGTCTTAAGTTCTTCTAACTTTGCAGCAACAATGTTGAAAAAATCCTCTTAAAACTATCATATTTTCACAAACAATGGCTCCTTTCCAGGTCTTCAATTTATAAAAAAATAACTTTACCCCTCACAGATACTACATCTGGAACAACAGAGACATATATCAACACATTGTTCTTGGAAAACTGGTTTGTCCATTGAATTTATCTGGTTAATCAGCTCCTCAATTCTAGTTGTGAATTAATGTCATACTAAACTTCTAGACAAGTATGGTATTCCTATACCACCAAAGAATATGCCTGTCACACTGTTCTGCTTTGTTCATTTAGTTCTCAGTCAGTCCTGTTATTTAGTCTGTGTTTTGGTTCCATGTCTTAGTTCCCAGCCCGGTGTTAATCTGTATTTACTCCTGGGCCCTGTTTCAGAAAGCAGGTTCAACAAACTCTGAGTGTAAACCTGAACTCTGGGTTGACTAACTCTGAGCTGTCAAACTCTGGGTTTTCCATTTCAGAAAGGCCGATCAGAATAAGTTCAGTCAACTCTGAGGCCCAATCTCAATGTCCCACCTCACAGACTCATAGACTTTGAGGTGCGTTCCTGGGAAGTCCGTGAGGGCTTAGGGCTGTCCCACTGTCAAACCGTCAAGTGCGCGAGGGCTCTCGCGGACATTTTGAGCCCTTTATAGACCCTTTTCATAGGCTTAATGATTCATAAAGTGCTGGAATTCTCCCACAGCCTGTTATTCATTTGAAATAGCTACAGGCCTGTTTATTTAGCTCTAACCTGACAGGACTAAATGCCGGTGGCAATAACTGAAGATGAAAATATTAATCGACCAGATTCTAATCTGTAGTTTAGGCTACTCATGGACCTGTGACTGTAAAGTGACAGACACTCTGTCTCTGTTCATACCTCGATGACAGATTGATCATAAAAGCGACATGTTCAAGATCATGTTTGGGTAAAAAAAAGAGTCAGAGAGAAACTCAGCGTTTGTTGATGTAAACCTCCTCCGGAGCAGGTTAGGTTCACAGCATAAGTTGCCAGGGTTACAGACCTAGAGTTTATCTGATCTCACTCTCTGAAACCGAAAACCCAGAGTTTCCCTCATCTCGTGCTCAACTTCCTCAGAAAATAATTTGGATCTTACCTTCCAAATATCTAAGTGTAGTTATCACTACAAGGTATTTCTACGAAGATATAAGAAGGACATTGATGTGGACTGCTCATTTTGTCATATGGCTCAAGAAGACCTGTATCATTTATTTTAGACTTGGACACTCTTGCACTTTTTGGCATTATATCTGTACATTTATCTCCCAATATATTGACTCTATTCTCACTTTCCTATGACAATGTATTGTCTGGCTTTTTTAACATACCCTTCTACCAAGGCAAATCATTTCCATATCATCAATTTGATGTTATTGCTTGCAAAATCACAAATCCATAATTCTAAGCCTTCCTTTGCCATTTTTGAAAACGAAGTCAAACATTACATTACGACAATCCTATACTCTAAAAACAGGAAAGCTCTCAAGACCTTGCATCGATTTACCCTGTTTAAAATTTTTCAGTGCTGATTTGTGATCCTTTTATATTATATATATATTTTTTTTTTCTGTCAGCCTTTCCCCTGATATTGTCTGCGCTTGTGTGTTATGTTCACAATGTTGTTTAATAAAAGCATTTGAAAAAAAAAAACAGAATTGGGCAGCGACTGTTTCACAAGAACGCAAGTTCAGACAAGAACGCAGATTGAAAAACATTTGTGCAGAAGCTGGGATTTACTTTTTTTATTTTTATTTCAGCCTGTGGTTAACAAACGATATATGTTTTGTAAAAACCGTAGTACTACTCCTTGCAGCTGTTATGAATATGATAGTTAAAAAGTCGAGAGAGACTAGTTTGTTTGGGAGCAGGGGAGGGGTAGTAGTGAAAGTAATATAGTAGTAAGTGGTTACTTTTATCACCCAGTAGGCTCATAAGTAATAGGCCTATTATTATTTTTTTAAGGAGTAATAAGTAACTAGTAACTTATTAACACTGCTAATAAGCATGTATCCAAAGGCTTTGAGGTGAAATATGCATAGTAATTATCTGTGAGGGAAAAGTAGCCTATTTAAACCCCTTGTTGTGTCTCTTTAACATAGCCTAACTAAAAACACTGACTCAAGCATCTTCACATATGTGTTGCTATTTCAATATCAGGTAAAAAAAAACTCACCTCCTTTCCTCTCTGGCTCTCATCTGAGGAAATCAGAGTGAAACAGCATTACACCTCCAAGCGTATTGTAATTTTTTGATGAAGCCATAAGAAACACACAATAGGTGGACATATGAGGATCATTAGACAGTAATTTCTGTACCAAAATTATATTAACATAGGCCTACCTATGTTGATTTCACTTGAACAAGCTTGGATAGGTTTTGATAAAAGGCAGGGGGCCTTCAAATGTATTTTCTTCAGCTCTGGGTAAGTTGATTTAATGTCCTCATCAGTTTGAAGGAGGTCCAGGAAGCCTTGGCACGTGTCCTCTCCTTTATTCATTATCTTATCCACAAGCTCAACGACGTGCCCCTCTTCATCTTCTTTGTTGATACTTTTAAGGTTGTTGTACTCACGTTTTGTTATCAGGCTTCTTTCACGAACTTTGTTGAGGATTAGCCTGCGGTCTCCGCACAAAATCTCCTGAATGACTGTTTTATTACGTCTCACCGTGTCTATGGCTGACATGCTGAATCAGACCTAGAGAAAAAGAAAAATATAATTAGAGGATTAGAAGAAGAGAAGAACTGGACGAACGCGTTTTCCCTTTGCTCATAGAAAAGCAGGCAACACTTGGTTTGTACAGTCAAACTGTGAAAGCGCAAAGATTGTTGTAACATACTGAGGAAGCATTGTTTTACCACTAAAGAGCAACTATTTGGTGTAGTAGCCTAACGTTACAGTAGGCAATGATTAATTATCTTATAGGCTACTTTTAGGTACTTTGAGATTACAAAAACATATCGCAGATGCCAAAGTTAACTTGTGTTATTTTCTACTTTGGTCGTACAGACTGGCGTTACACTGTCAGAATATAACTGAGATAACTTAAGTTTTAAACCCTTTTCTACGATGACTGCATGCAAATTTAAGAAAGCGAACTACTGTACATGTAAACTGTAGTATAGCTTAATACAGTGGGAATGGTTACACGAAGCTTTGTTAACTTACTGTCAGGAAATCTTCCCTCCAAACGACGACTGTAACTTAAAATGTCCTGATTTGAGCGCGTAACAAGTCTGGCAGCCTGGTTTCGTTTCCAAACTCGGAAGTCTCAGGCGGCTCTGATAGACGTTGGTTCATACCTGAGCGAAACTCCCATCTCTGGCTATATTTTTCTCAGTTTCATATTTAAAGGTTCAGATTTCATCATCCCGTGTGCAGGCAATTCATTAAGTTAGGGTCGAGTTGGATGTAACGTTGGTGGCAAACAATAGAAGTGTTGGATGTGCTCACCACCTAGTCGACGAGATGTATTATATTTCCTGCCGGTTGTTGAGTAGTTAAGTTAGTAGATAAAAGCAGTATCCACCCTGGTCTGAACTACTTATTGCCTTCCATTGTGGTGGATGAGGGAACACCATATATAGAAAATAACAGACTGTTTAAAAAACCTATGAGGAAAATATGCGGGAAACCGACAGACGGGGTTTTACAAACAACGGCTACAGGGGGCATCAATGAGGCTATTCTACAGTGAAGCGAAGAAGCTGATTGCGCTTTATCGGAAGTGAAATCGATTTTACAAAAGTGAGCACACACGTTAAATGGTTTGGTACCTAGAAATACAGTTAACGTATCGACAGTAGCCAATCATCAAAAAAAAAAAAGTGATATATCGACTAGCAAATAAAATTTATTCCGCCATTGACTTTGCAACAGTCCCTGGTGGTCTAGTGGTTAGGATTCGGCGCTCTCACCGCCGCGGCCCGGGTTCGATTCCCGGTCAGGGAACTCCTTTTTGTTCCGTATGTCCAGGCATTTTTATGACGGGTGTAGGGGGCTCCCACTTAAAGCACTGTGGCTCAAGGCCAGCCATTTTCACCATCTTGATGGATGATAGCTTTGGGTCCACAGCCAAAATGTAGAAAAACATGTTTTTCTCTAGTCCTTTCCTTAGTTTCAGGTAGCCAAAGCTAAACCCAATTTTACTTCAGGATTCCTGTATATACCCTGAGCCCTAATACAACCTTCAGATGGATAATGCAACTACAAAACGGTTTTGCTTCTTTCTGAGATCGCTTTTTCCAAAAATAAGAAAACATTTCTCTAGGAGTGAAGTAATAGAAAGTAGCATCAAGGTGATAAAAGTCAATTTGTGGATTGTGCATTCCCTTGTAATGAGTGTAATAGTAGTTATTTACCTGTTTCCAAGGTAAATGACATGGAAAATAATTAAATGTAGAACAACATTCCAAAATCTGATCTCAATTGAAGATACACTATATGGACAAAATTACTGGGACACCTATACATTACTTTTATAACATCCCATTTGAAATCCAAATGCATTAATATGGAGTTGGTCCCCCCTTTGCAACAGTTTCCACTCTTCTAGGAAGGCATTCTACAAGATTTTAGAGTCTGTCTGTGGGAATCTTTGTCCGTTCATCCAGAAGAGCATTTGTGAAGTCAGACGCTGTTGGACATGAGGGCCTGGCTCGCAATCTCCATTCTAGTTCATCCCTAAGGTGTTGGATAGGGTTTAGGTCAGGGCTGTCTATTTGTTTTACGTATCCTACTTTGTAGAGAAGCCATCTGTGCTACAGAGCAGCAATATAGAGCTGGTCGTGATCCAAAGTCTAACTCAGGGACACCTAGCAGAGAGAACATATGTAGTCAGAGGTGCTTGAACCCACCCTGTCAAAGAATGATGTCCATCCATTCAATTTATACTCCTGAAGCCATCATAGAAGGTAAGAAAGTACATATTTTCTCAACTGGAACACTATCTGAATGCTGTATTGACATCACTGCAAACTCTTCCTGTAGCTCTGAACTAGTTACACAGAAGGAGTGCAATCTGTGAATTTGTCAACCACTTAGCTGAAGTGGAAAAATTTGAGTGTCCCTGTCTTGGGTCTGTGGCAATCCACTCTGTACCTCACTTCCTAACACTTTTAAACACCAGACACTTAACAGAACAAGGATGGATCCAGAAAACATAATACCTAGATGACTAGAATATAAGGTCTATTTTAAATATTTTTAATTCAACTAACATTATAAAACTATATAATTTATTTACTAAAATGGGTGTCTAAATGCATTTTCAAAGCCTTCTCCTCAATACCAGGTATTCAATTCAGGTGGGGCAATGAAGTATTTATTTATTGTTGGTATCTTTTAAAAAAAAATTACAGATTGCATTTAAAAACTCTCAGTAACTTTTTAAAAAGGTTATCTATTTCATTTAAAAAAAAGTTATTGACCCAGCCTTTTACTTGCACCTAGCTTCAGCACACTGCTTCAGAAAAGCTAAGTTCAGTGGGTTTAAAATCTTTTGATCTTGCAGTGTAGGTATGAGAGAGTAAGAATAAAGAAACAGAAAGAAACACATGGTTTCCTGAAGCTCGGTACAGTATGTGACGTCACGCTTCTTCTTTCCCCAGAAATGTGTCATTGTCTTCAGTCAGTGAGGACACTCAGAGAACCACAGTCATCGACAGAGTGGAGGGACAGCAGGAGGTAACAACTTCGCGGTTACACTATTTACAATAATGATATTAAGATGGTCACTGTAGGAGGACTTTGTGTTATATTTTATTTATAAGAAAGCTTACACCAAGAATAGCTAATCATGGTTATATGGATTTATCATTGTTGATTTAGCTGAGTGGGTAAACAAAAGTACTGATAACTTTTTCTTTCTTTCTTTCTTTCTTTCTTTATGGAAAATGTAAAAGCTTCTGTAGGCAGTGGAAATGTGTATGTTATTAAACTCCTAATTAAATGTAACCAAGAGGAAAATTAACACTCATATGAGGAAAGCGGTTTGTTTGTATATCATTTTATGCCCAATGAGATGTCTTAATATTAGTCAGTCTCTTAATGTAGGCTTTTAAAAAGGGGAAGTATGAACAGCCAGGAAATTACTTAGAGTGCACGGATACAACAGCTTAAGCCTACTGTATGTGGCCAGACACGATACGCACAGTAATGTGTGTTTATGTGTGTGTTTGTGTGTGTGTGTGTGTGTGTGTGTAAAACTCCTAGGTTAGCTATGAAACTGTTTCCTGTCCATCCGATGTTTTGCTCTGTTTTGCTGGTTTTGTGGACTTCACAAAGTGGTGGGTAACTTTTGACATTACACGCTACTCACACACACACACAGTCACATACTTTGAGTATAACTTTAAGGATGATGAACCATGTTTTTTAAATAAAAACATGTTCCATAACTCTTCTTTAGTACATCAAATATAGGTCATCAAACAGTTTTGGCAATCTTGCTTTTATCAGGGCATTGTTGTAGTTTGTTTTCTCTTTCCTTGTACACAGCATTCAAGGAAGCTGGCTTCCTCCTCCTCCCTGATTAAACACCTAAATTCTTGTTAAAATAAACATTGATGCTCACACTGCTGAGCACGCCGCTGTGTTTACGTCAAGCTAGAATGTGACAATCCATGGCTAACATCAGGTTTATTTGTGTTTTCCCTCGTGCTATAACTCCAGATTCTGTTTCAACAGTAACAGAGGCCAACAATCCAGAGGTCTGTCAAGAGGAGGTGTTGTTAACTGATGAAGTGAGAATCAAAATGTTTTTTTCACTTCCAAAGGCCACAAAGGCACAATAAACGCTTGCTGCTTAAATACAGATTCATGTTCTGATCTCTGTATTTGTGAAACTCTTTCAGTTGTCTCCACTGAATTCTTCAGGGGATGATATAGAGGAGGCTGCGTTGGAGGATAACTTTCTCTGTGTCCTTTATCCAACAAATACACTCAACTGCTCCTGGTCATTCCACACTTTACAGAAGGATACTCAGCTCTCTGTCTATATCAGGTTTTCATATTTTTTTCTAAATGTTTATTATCCATATAGCATAGCTTTGATGAGTATTTAAAACAATTAATGCATATTTACAATACAAGTATGTTAAAGTGTAAAAATTGTTTTGCGTATCTCTTTCTCTGTCTATTCATCCAGTATTTGTGATGGCGAAAGTGCAGTTCACTCTCGGAATCTGTCTGCAGAAAGAGTCGGATCAAGCACTTTGGTTCTACCCGAGTATCAGATGTTATTCGTAGTCATCCATTTTAACGTGACCTTGCATGACATGTGGACAGTCTACGCGTACAAATACAGCAGGGATATGCTAGGTAATACAGACAAGCACTGACATTGTGAATGATAATTCTATAATGATGATGATAGTATGATGATCTTCAGTGGCATCCACTGTTTGAATAATACATCAGGTAGCACATTATTTAGATTCTATCCACTCTTAACGAGATCAATAGATATTTATTGTCTGTTTGGCCGCAATGATTTCTTTAACAGTAGATTGGTTTCAGGTGACTTACAAATGTACCACATAGTTCATTTGTTATGTCAGCTATTGAAAATGTGATTGTTTCTGAGCCATTTGGGCGGTCACATAGTAGACAAAATTATGTGGCTATGATAGTACGGAATTTGGTTATCAGCAATCTGCTTATTGGATTAGTAAACTGTATGGTCTATAAAATGTATTTAGAAGGAAATTGTCAAAATGCATCCTTTTATAACTGTAGTAGCAAGCTGCACAAATGAACAACTCACAACAGTATTTAAATCAGACTTAATAACTGGTTGATATTCGGTTGCAACTGTCATTAATACTGTATGCACACCATTTATGTATCTTCCTGGCAGGTATTTTATCCTCACATTACAGTTACTTTATATAGTTGACAAGAGTCAGAGTACAGCCAAGCTAGCGTACTTAGACACAGTGGTGCTTTGAGCTAAATGCTAATGCAAGACAACATGCTCACAACGACAATACTACCAGGGTGTTGAGCAGGTATAATGATTACCATGTTCACTTTCTTAGTATGAAGATGTTTTTCCCGTCATCCGAAAGACTTCTTCAGTTCTGGGAAATGAAGAAGTCTCTCAGATGACGAAACCTCTTCGAGTATTTTCAACCAAGTTCAGATGCCCCATGATTTTAACTTTCCTTGGACATCTAATAGTTGTTGAGATATTATGCTTACAGATTACTTAAATGTGTGCCCATTTAGTTTAGTTAAATTTTCTATTATGTCTCAATTATAAAGCATATCTGTGGACTGATTGTAGGCTGACAGGCACTGGTTGTTTACTTGGGGATAGGTTTATGCACATGCAAACAATAGTTAGGTACATAAATTAATTTGGTAAGATGAAGATTAAGGTTAGTTTTAGATCGTATGTTGTAGAGATCCCACAGCAGACCTCCCCAAGGAATTGCTATCAATGATTTGACAAATTCTGTGGTTGTGTTTGACATAGAGGTCCTGCCTCCACCCCAAAACATCTCTGCATTAGTCAAAGATGGAAGACTGTTGGTGACATGGAGTCTGCCCCAGAGTTGGGAAAAGGTCAACTCCTTTTGCTTCGAATACCAGCTGGACATAGGTGATCAGGTACAGTGTGTGTATATGGATATTGATTATTCCAGAAATAATTGATTAAATTATGACATTTCAAGGAACCACAAGTCTGCAAAGTCAGACCTGATCAGATATAACAATCTAAATTTGAGTGTTTACTGGTGAAGTTTTATCTTTTATAAACAGGGAAGTCCCAAAAACTTGAGCGACCATCTGTTTTATACCGAGCCGAATGTAGATCCCAGCCGCACCTACAGAGTAAGGATAAGGACGAGAAAGAATAATCACTGCATATCAAATCTTCTATGGAGTGACTGGAGTCAAACTGTCAGTGAGTGGTGTTTATTAAAGTCATGTCATATAGCGGTTTAACCAATGGCTGGTGACCTTTTATCATCTCCATCAATTGCTTGATTGGTTGATGTCTGGCTGCCTGAACATACCTTTTTACGTTGTATGAATGCAATAATCTAAGTACAATGATCTGTATCTTTATATGTGTGTCTGTTTATAGCGGTTGAACAGACAGGACAGATAATCAAACTCAATGCTATGGTGATCGTTTCAATTTCCCTTGGAATACCCATGATCCTCTTGGCTGTGCTGCTGTTGGGGCTCTATCAGAGGTACTGTTTCTGTCTCTAACTGAACTAACCTGTTGACTGCTGCGTGACTCCCTCACACTCATATGCGCCCCCTCTCACACACAGTTACTCAAAGCTACCTCTCTTCACACTTGCTTTATTTTTTATCTGCCTCATTGGGCTGCTTGAACTCTGTCTTGTCTTTTAACAGTTGACCCCACCCGACATCAGCAGAAGCAGTGAAGTGTAGAAAGGAGAAGCTAGAAGAGTGTTTGGGTAGTGGTAGTGTATTTTCTTATGAAAAGCCACATCCACCCTAAACTTCCTCAAGGTGCAGACAGAAATCCCCTATGAGTTCTAAAATAGCCAAACAGGGGAAAACACAAAATTATATAAAATGCAAACAAAGAGACAGGAAATATACATTTCTTCTTTCTTTGGCGGTTTCACTTTCAACTATTTATTTCAAAACATAATGCATATCAAACTTATTTTATCCAATGCAAGTGGCAAGAGAGAGTTTAAAATGTGTATTGCTATTCTTGCTTAAAGCTCATTGTGTGCATGGATGTGTATGTTTCAGGGTGACTAAGGTTCTGTATCCTCCGATTCCTCGCCCCCCGCCAAAGTACAAATCTTTCCTGGAAAAAAGTGACATGTTCAATGTAAGTACATGCCCAGACTGTACACTCGCACACACATTTCACCACTCACCCAACCCATACACTTGTGTACAAATGTTGTCAAAGCTATTTGTTATTTTTTGTGTTTCTAGTTCTTTCATCTTCCATTGTCAGCTGAGCCTGATGCAGAGATAACAGTGGTGGAGGACACAGAGCAAAACCTTGGAAAGAAGTTTTAAAAGTACTATAGGAAGGACATATTCAAATTTAATTTTGCGGTTTTATGTCACTCATGTCTTTTGAAGGTGCCATATCTAAAAATGTGAAGCAATTTACATGTATTTATCAGCTTGTATTGCCAAAGTGTGAATGGATTGTAACAGAACTTTAAAAATTTGACCTTCCCCGACTTTCTCGGTTACCCATGAAAGACTTAGTGCTGATTTCCATGGAAACAACAGATGTGACGTTAATGCGTGCTCCGGAGTACCTTCACTTCTGAGCTGCAAAGCATGTGAAATATACTGTGATATTGTTTCAGCTGGCCAATGTTAACTAAAGTTAACTTGCTTGGTAACGCAGATGAATTGCTAGCTAGCTAACATACCAAAATACTGTATTGATCAAGTGGGCTCTCTGAGGTCCAAGCTGGGTTACTTTAGCTCTATTCCTTTTCTTAATGGGGCAACTGCTCGCGGTGGCAGTGATCATCTCAAGGTCCACTGCATTTAAACCAATCCCATCATTTTCAGACATCGTTGAGCCCGAGTTAAGTCCAGCATATAACAAGTTTGGCAGCCAGCTGGCCAACCCCAGTTTAGGTTACTGACTGCGTGGTCTGGTGCTGGTTGCTTTGTGGCACAGATCACATTAATTCAGCGTTCAGTCTCATGCATGTCAGGTTACTGTTTTGGTCGATACCCAGGATGATGCTCGCTCACACCCCCCTGTGTGAGTGCGAGCAACAGAATGCTGTTCAGTTAATGGCCACTGGTGACATTGACAACAAGGATTTTCTGATATTACACATAATGTAGAAACTTCACGTTATGTGACACTTAAATTTTAGGACATGTAAAAGTGTACCAATATGATAGCAAGACATACCGCGTATATATATATACACTGTATATAACCAATAAGGAAGGATTTTTGTCATGTAACGACATGTGAATTTCTGTGAATGTGAATGTCCATTAATGAGTTCTGATGAAATACACTTGCTCTGCCTGAACTAGCCAGATGGCTGGTCTTGTAAGTTTAGTGCTTGTTCAAAATGTGCAGTTTGAGTTCAGCTTGGACAAGAGTTGCAGACTGTGGACTGGTAGCTGGAAAGGTGCCAGTTCACCTCCTGGGCACTGCCTTGAGCAGGCTCCTGAACCCCCAACTGCTCACACTGACATTTCTCCATGGATTGTTGTTATAGGTCATGTTTGTGCATGTGTGTGTATTTCAGACCTGTGTGTGCATAATAATAAAAATAACTACAGAGTGAAAAAACGTTTCCCCTTGCAGGATTATGTCTTCTTCTTCTTTGGGGTGTGACATAAAGTTGAGTGATACAGTATATTATCATGTGATCATTTAAAATTAATTAATTTATCCAAGTTTATTTATACAGGGTGGTTAAATGAATACAGTTTATGGGAACCCTTTGTACACAGACAATAACATCAAAAGCAAAAAAAACAATTTAGACAAAAATGCACAGTATTTGAAGGGTAAAATCTGCCCTGTGTGTTTGTTTAGGAGCTTGGTCGTAAAGGTCATAGTTATGTTAGGTTTAAATAGAAAAAAACTACTAAAATTTGTATGTAATTATGTAGGTCATGTGATATAAGTAACATAGGTCATGTGACTTCACTCATGAGACGTAGGTCACCTACGAAACATTATTTAACTTAGTTGTTACTGTTGAAGATTTTAGCCATGATGTTTGAATATGATATGTGTCCTGATATAGGCCTGATAAAGTACGGGACTAGACACATGAATACAATGGGCCCTTGCAAGAAGACTGTAACTGAAGCCTGTGAAGGTCATCATGTAATACTGCACACAAATTTGGAGTGCCTGTGTTGATGTTAACCAACTGTGTGATTGTATTATGCATGTACAATGTTTGGATGTTGCTAATATCAAGATGATGTCTTATTGAGCAGTGTCAGATTTCAGTCTTCTTTAGAAGTAGGGTAGAATACACTATTGTCTTAATATTGGTTATGTGTGGAGGTGGAGATGGTGAGTCTTAAAAGGAGGAGCTAGACAGATATTTCAATCGATGTAATACAGAGTTGGATGAGTCTGCCAGCTCGGACACACGACTTGGAACTCGGAAATTCTGACTTCTCATGTCAAGTGGAACGCACCACAATTGTTTTTATGCTAAGCTACAGCTTCTAAGCTGCTAAGCAGATACATATTAAATGGACAGACAAGCGAGTGGTATCAATCTTCTCACGTATAGCTCCACGAGAAAGGAAATGTGCATATTTCCTAAAGTGTTGAACTATTCCTTTAAAGGTCTACACATCATTCAGATTGCAGATAAAGGAAGAGTCAATGATGGACTGAAAATCTGCAAAAGAAATCAAGCGATCCAACTTTTTTCCACTTTTTTCCATCTGAATGGTGATCTAGTAAAACTGAGTGTGTCTGTACTGCTGACAAGATCTAAGCTATATAGGCATTTGGAAGTGCTTTATAAATATATACATACAGGTGTTGGACATGAGTTCTAAAACCATCTACTAATATGAATCTCAGAGTGCTGAATTGAAAAAAAAAAGACTGAAAAGCAGATGTTGTGGCTTGCATATAAGTTTAATGAACTGACTTTAAAAGATATCAAGCACAGATCACATTAATTCACAATAAAGTATGTGGACATGTTAAGACAAAACTGCAATGTACATGGCCGCAGTAAAGCAGATATTACACATATCACATGTAGCACATATTAACAATGCAATTAAAAAGTACAAAACAACTTTTGGGAGGAGTTGTGAGCTCAGACTCTGAATCAGATGAAGCTGATAAAGCCCTTTGTTGCAGTGCTTTGATAATAACCACATCATTGCGAGCTCAGGACTCATGTGACTAATGGTAAAAATGACACTTCCTGTGAGGCTGCAGTCACTGGCCAAAGTTGTTTATTAGCTTCATCACAGTGCATTATGTACATAATATGTTGACTGGAGTACTTTGCAGATCAAAAAATACAAGCCCAGATTTCAAGTACGCAAAAAGTGCCTTATCAAAACGTGGTAATTTTGATGTGCACTACAAAGTCATTCATGTTCACAGTTCAGCAAGGGACTCTAGAAGGAAGTCTAATAGATTGACTCTATCACTGGTCTTAGTGAAGATAAAGCCAAAAAATAGCCTGACCAAGTGGTGAGCCATCCAAGACATACAGTGTATGAGACACACATCTATATTTTATTTTTGCATGATACCAGATTGAGATCAGGAAGAGCTTGTCATAAGAATGTTGTGAATGAATAAGAAGAACCTTGTGTTGCAAAAATTAATAAATAAATAAAGTGTGCCCACCCCACGGTAGATTATCAGTCTTTCCTGCATTGCTGCATTTCCTGTATTATAACTATGTGCGCAAAGCAAATTATGTCAATTGGGCGATGCGAATGGTGCAAATACACAAAATTCACGTGAGTTGAAAATATTCAACTTGAGCATGTATTGCAGGGCTTGTGTGGAGAAAACTGGGCAGAGTGGAGGGACAGCTACTGAGTGCTCTGGAAGCTCTGGAGAAGAGAGCTGAGAGTGGCACAGGATCTTCTGGACAAATAAACTCCCACAGTCGCACAGGAATCTGCTCTGATCTGGTGCAGTTTACTGGCGAGAGGAGCTCAGAGTTCATTTATTTTATAAAATCAACTTTTTAATTAAAATTTTTAGGATTACAAAGTTGATTTATCTTCACTTGCAACTCTCAACCTGTCTACAGCAGCAAGCCATCGAGTTTCCCAGCTCCACTGTTGTTATTGTAGCAGTCAGTGGGCACCCAGAGCTCTGTGAAACTACTTCATATACAGAGACCGGACAAAACAGGAATTTGCTTGGAGAAAAGTAAGCGAGGAAGTTTAAATTCTTTGTATGTCCAGAAAATGGGTCTGTTACTTGATTCCAGCCATCGTTGTACTGTACTATCAGACAAGCTAGCATTGCATAGCCCTGATCCGAACGGCATTTAGAAAACAAACATTTTAAAAGTTGTCTGTTGTCCTCTTGCGGACAGACCTCACAAAGGATGATTCATACTTTTAACAAACTGGCATCATGATGAGTTATTTTGTAACCATTTTGATCCATTTATCTGATCCTTTTACAACAGTGGCTTCACATAAGATAAACAATGTGTGACAAACCACACAGATCAAAAAGATCACTGTACTCTAGTGACTTCCCCAATAAGACATGTTCGTAGAAACAAAAACAATAGAATATATGTCCACAACTATGTAGAAACATCTTTCTGTTCTTACACAAAACATCTTAAAGCACAAAGATGACCAGAGAATTAAGATCGAGGCCATTAGCATGGAACCTATTTCTCCATTGACAGGCAAACACAGGCTTCATAACACACAAATACACACAGTGATGGACCACTGAAGGAAAATAGGTCTACCCAAAGGAAACCACAGTAGCAGCAGAGATGGTGTGTGATATATTTGCACGGCATCTATTTTAAAAAAAACAAAAAACGTTCCCACGCTCACAAATTAAAAACATTACAATGACTTTCAAGATCTCTTGAGCACGAAGTGAAATATATGTACTTAATATTGGCATTTGTACACTCTACAGTGGCCTCTTCTTCATAATCTTGTTGACTAATACACCCAATGAAATTTTTTTAACTGATGGCCTACTAAAGTCATGTGCCATGTGGTGCATGTTTCTGTCATCGTGTTTGTCAACCTGATTGATGATGCTGGTCTGCCAGGTTAAAGGGCTGGCCTCAACAGACACAGCTACTGCTTCATGTTTCCATGTAGACGAACTCTGTGTAGGACACCAATGAAACTGTGTTAGAGTGGCTGAAAAGGCACACTTTGATGCACCACAAACATAACAACACACACTGAATTGTGTATGTGTGTATCTTTGTGTGTTTGTGCAGGTGTGAATGCCTGGACCAGATTTATCTTTACTATAGCTACAGGATATTTTTCAGGATGTTTTTGCAATTTGACACAAAAGAAAATACGTTACATCATAAAGTAGCACGTGTGTGTGTGTGGTGTGTGTGTGTTATACCTTGTCCCAAGTTGATGTATTGTAGCTGTGTTTTGATCAGTGGATCTGTGAGGGGGGATATAATGTCATCAGAGGCTGCACCCTCTCTGTAGTTCTCTATCAGTGTTTCCAGAGTCCTAAAACTCTGCGGTCTGACTCCTGAATCCTGCTAATTACACACACACACACACACACACACACACACACACACACACACACATACACACCATAAATTACATCCCTGTGTGAGTGTGGACATGTGTTGATGTGCATGCAAATGGTCACCCACCTGAAGATACCAGCCGTCAGTGGACGGTACAAGCCTGTAGGTGTGCACATAAGGTGCTTTCCTGAAAAACAGAAAGTCCGGGAAATTTAATGATTTGTTGTGAGTTTGAAACTGCACATTTTCCACTGTGATGATTAAATTTAAAAGACTATGACTCAATGATTTCAGTTTCGGGTTTGACACACCAGACCTCGGTTCCTCCTTATTCATTTGTGTACTGAGCAAAAAACCTGATGTTTAATTTCTCTTTTTTTTCCACATGCTATTAATTCTGTTTATCTTTCTGTATCTGGATTCATTATGTGAATATGTTTCCAAATGTGGGCAACTCTGATTTTGAAGTACTAAGAATTTAAATAAGAAAGACTTTCATGTGTCGTCCAAGGAGTCCCCAATATACAGTATGGTGGAATGTTACTAAGTACATCTACTAAAGTACTGTACTCACTTGCTTGAGTATTTCTATTATTATTATATCACTAAATTTCAGAGGCATTATTGTACTTTTCACACCACTACATTTTTGTGAAAACTATAGTTACTAGTTACTTTTCAGATCAAGATTTTATACGTCAAACATGTGATCAGTTTACCCACAGTATATAACTCTGTTAAAATAAGCTCTACTGTGACAACATTCATTTGCTGCTTAGATGGTAATGAACCAGGAATAAATTCCAACAATGAATATATAATAAATGTAATTTATTATATATTTATCATATTAATATATTATTTATTTATTTGAATGGAGAAATTTTGAATCATGAGTACCTTCACCTTATATTTTTCCATCGTGGTATTGCTACGTTTTGATAGGTTAAAGATGCAAGTTATTCTTCCACCACTGTCAGTATATTATGACACATATTTTCAACTTTCTACTTTACTAAAGTAGACATCGTGAAGTTTTAAGAACCCCTTTAAGAGGTCTCTGCAAAGCCTT